GAGCCACCCGTCCGCCCCATGCGGATCTCCGGGCGCCCTCTGCGTGCGAAGCCTGAGTCGGCCGGGAGCTGCAGAACTGGACAGGGCTGGTAGTGAGACGAACGCTTCGCGCCTGTGCTCAGCGCCTTGGAGTTCAGCACCTGCCCTGGCCGGGCCCGGCGCGCGGAGAGAGGATGCGGCCTCCCCCACTCCGGCGCACGTATTAGGTTCTCCCTTTTCAAGGAAAAGAACTGTGCCTGGGACATCAGCTGAATTGCAACAGGATCTCTGTCCTGCCCAAATGATTCGGGCTCTCTGAAGATAGGGTACGGTATGACTAGTGCTGCGGAAATAATGACAGAATTTTTTTCTTCATTTCCGTCCCCAAAAGATCCAGGAATCTAGGGAGATAGCCCACCCAATAAACTTGGAGTTAACATTTGCTGGAAGGCTGGAGATTTTTCTTTAGCGTTCTCTTTTCTGACTCTCATTCTTAGCTACGTTGTTCCAAAGACTGATAGAAAATTAATTCTCATAAGGGGTTCTGGGAGGTATCCACGCGGGGAAAGGCCTGAGCAAAAGTACCCAGAACAGGCTGTGGAGGGGTTCTTCTTCCACGTATCCACTCCGCACTGTCCCGCGTGGCCAGGTCACAGACGAGGAGGGGGCCTGGCTTTGATGTCCAGCAATGGTGATGGTCAACCGCGCAGGCCAGGATCACTCACGCGTGAACACACACACACACACACACACTCGCAATGGAATTTCTCCAAGGCACATCCCCAGAAGCTTCTGAGACTAAAGAAGCCTGAAGAGCCCTGCATGGTGAAGTCTGTAATCCCAGCACTCGGGAGGCTGAGGCAGGAGGTTCGCTGTGAGTTCTAGACCAGCCTGAGCTACACAGTGAGATCCAGGTCAGTCTCAACTACATAGTGAGACCCTGTCTCAGAGATAAGCCTGAAGACGAGCTAGCTCCATGTGTTATGGCTATAGGCAGGTACGTTCTGAGTAGGTGTAGAACAGGGATTTGTAACCTGGGTAGTCCTATGAGACGGCTTCAGTTGAATGCACAGTATTTTATGGAGAACACCATTTTTCTTGGGGAGATTGCATTGAACTTTCAAGGGGTCCCTGATTCCCCTACCCACCACCTCAAAGAAAAAAAGTTTTTTTAAAAAACCATGTCTACCCTAGGACTTCGACTTTTTCTTAGACTAAAATAACTGTTGAGAAATGGGAGGGCTAAAGCGAAATTAAGAGAAATTGTGGTCCGTTCACTCGCAGTTGTTTCATTGGGACCACAACTCCCAGTGACCCTTGCGGCAAAATCCGCGTTATTGGCCAATGGGAAGGACTTTTCCTAACGTGACACATGGAGTAGCCAATAGACAGAATGGCAAGCGTGCTCAGCTTCTGCTCACCTATCAGGGACTGTGGGCCGATACTTCCGGTAGTTGCGCAGGAACTCGGCTCCAGGTAACTTTGGATGGGGGGTCACCTCCAGGGAAGCTGGATTTATGTGGGCCCGGAAGACTAAAGATGTTTTGTCTTCAGTTAGCAGCCGTGGCGGGTGTGGGAGGCTGGGAGTGAGGCGAGAGGGAGGTGGACAGCGCTTGGGGGGATAGGTTAGGGAGGTGGAGATGCAGGTGTGGGGAGGTGTCTGAGGAGAATGCGGCGGGCCCACGTGTGAGGGGTTGGAGGATGAGGACTGGGTCACGGGTGAGTTTGAAAGAACGAATATGTTTCTCGTGGCTCACGGGTGATACTTTAGGGAGTATGTCTTAAAGAGGTCATCCAAAGAAAAGGAAATGTTTGATGTGTAAAGGGTTTTATCACAGCGTCATTTACAGGAGAGTAAAGTTAGCTACAGCCAGGTGTTTGGGAGTAAATTCAGTAAATTATGTAATTTCACTGTTTATGAAGTGACTTCTAAAAGTAATTTATAAAAATTCTAAGTAACCGGAACATGCAGGGCCGAAGATGTAGCTCAGTGGCGCTGCACGTGCCTCGCAAGCACAAGGTCCTGAGTTTGATCCCCGGTACAAAAAAAAAAAAAAGGAAAATAAAATTAAATATGTAATTATAAGTGAAAATATAATGGTGTAATATACCAAGTTGTACAGTGTTAAAATGTAGGAAGCGATTGACTTAGACTAGCTCCTGCACTAAGCCCATCAGACCCAACCAATATAGAGTAATCACAGCAGCAGAACATAATTGCTCAATCTATTACATTTATTTTCCTTTTTTAACAACATTATGAAAAAGTTTTAATTCCCAAACTGTAAAGTCAAAGTCTGAAAAGTAGTGGTCATAATTTTCCTTGAGGAATGGTTTTTGGTGAATTTCTCTTTAATTTTTTGTACCTTTTATGTGTTTGGTTTTTTTTTTTTCTAAATGTAGAGTTTGAATTTATTTTAGAGTGTAAATGCAATAAACTTGGCGGTTGTGTACCTGTGTTTAAACTTTCTGGAAATGCTCCATTTCACCTAAATCCCATGGTTCTCTCTCACGAGTTCCCTTAAGAGATTAAAAACAAGTGATCATATGCTCAGCACCTGGTTCTGATCTTTTCTCTCTTTAAAATACTCAGGGCTCTTGATTTCAGAAAGTTTATAGTTTGGGGATTGAGAGATAATGGTACAGGTATTCCTCGCTTAAAGACCTACCTGTTTAATGACTATTTGGACTAATGACCAAGGCATGCTGTCTCTTTGGAACTTACAATATAGGAACATAAGTGGCATTGCAGCCTTATGGTGGCTTCTTGTGTGTGAAAACTTGTGGATTCTGTGTGTGAAAACTCCACACAGATTTCTTTGTGGGTTTACTGACTACAGTACTGTATGGACAGTACTGTATCTTTGCAACACTTCTATACAGTACAGTACTGTACAGTATGTAATGATGTGGCAGCCATTCTGCTGTTTTTCTGATGTCTATTTCAGGTGTGACAATTATAGTGTGACAATGTATAATACTCCTTTTTTTTGAATAGTAGTATCATGAGATCTGGGTACCTTATTCTGTATTGTACTTTATTGTGTACCCCTTAGTAGAAGATGTCATCAGAACGGAAAAGCATGAGTTCACCAGGCGAAACAAAAGAAGGCTATCTATCTTGACATGAAAATGAAGTTCATACAAGATTTTGAAGCTGGTAAAAAAGTTAAAGCAAAAAACACAGAACTAGAATCTGGTGCATTGAACCATTTCAATAATCCTCAAGGATAAAGATAGTGAAAGAAGCAGTGAAAACATCAATAGGATTTAAAACCATAACTTTGCAGCAGAAAGGCCTCTTTCATGACATGGAAAAATTATTGGCCATCTGGTTTGATGACCAGATATAAAAAGAATGCCAATGAGTCTTTCAATAATTCAAACCAAACACTCACTATCTTCAAGACTTTGAAAGAACATAAAGGTGAAGAATTGATGGAAATTTTTACATCCAAGTCATGTATGGTTTCAGCAGTTTTGTGGAAGATTCAACCCGTATAGTTGGCGTGTCAGTGACAAGTGCAGACATAGAAGCAGCAGAAAAATTCCTTGACCAATTTGATAAAATCAGAAAGGCAGCTACTGCCCAGAAAAAATCTTCAATGTGGGTGAAACCAGACTTTGTTTTGGAAGAGAATGCCTAAAAGGTTCTACATACACAAGTTAAAATAATGCCCAGCTTCAAGGCTTTCAAGGACAGTCACACTGTTGGGAGGAAATGTTACTGAGTTCAAATTGAGGCCTTTCCTCTACCACTTGAAGAACCTCCTTGTATTGAAGCAGCTTAGTAATCATGTGCTGCCTGTTTACTATCAAGTGAGTAACAAGGCTGGGATGACTTAAGCTTTCTTTGAAGCTTTGAAGACTGGTTCATCAACTGCTTTATACCCCTGGTGAAGTACTACTGTCTGGAAAAGGGCATTCCCTTTAAAATTATCCGCCTGCTTTGCATCAGGAGGCCACCCCCAGCATCTTGATCTACAACCAGATGTAAGGGTAATGTATCTACCTAAAAATACAACTGCTGTCTTGCAGCCCATTAATTAGGGAGCTATAGCTACTGTTTGCATTCAACTTTTAGCAAAGCTGTAGCAGCAACAGAAAACATGAATGATTATGTTACCTTAGTGATTTCTGGAAATCATACATTTTAGGCTGCATTAAGAACCCTGAATCAGCTTGGGAAGGAGTGAAAGAAAAGTGTATTTAAGGCATATGGGGAAAATGCCTAAAAAGTTCATGCATAATTCAGAAGCACTTGACAAAGATGAACATGTCATTCTCATAAAGGAAACCACTGTGGAACTTGCTAACATGCTTAATTTGGAGATTGAAGTGCAAGGTATTGAAGACCTAGTGAAATATACTGAGAGAGAGCTAAGTACAGAAGATTTAATAGAGTTGGAAACACAGCACCACTTAGAAGAGGAGGAGGAAGAGGAAAGAATTGAAGTACTGTACCAGAGAAGTTCACTGCAAAGGGATTAGCAGGTGTGTGCTCAAAAGCCAATGCAGCTGTGTTAGAATTAGAGGCTATGGATCCAAATGTTGAATGGTTTGTGAAAGTGGAATGGCAAATGAGTAAACTTTTCATGGTATTGTGAAGTTTATGAAGTAAAAAAAAAAAATATGACAAAACAGACCACGCAGAGATTCTTCACAAGAGCTACACCCAAGACCCATACTATGAGTTCCATTTCAACTTTGTTATCTCCCTTACTTGGGCCTTCTGCATCTCCTGATCATAATTCTGATGATGACACTGGGGAGGACTTTGAAGGATTCCATGACTGAAATGTTAGCTTGAGTGCCCCCATACACACATACACACACTTTGCACTTGTGTGGCCAGCGTGGCACCACTGAGCTAAATCCCCCCTCCAGAATGCCGCTTTTTTTTTTTTTTTTGACAGTTCTATATATCTTGCTTATAAAACCTTAATATATTTTTTTGTATGGCACACTTTGGTACAGTACACTTACAGTACTATAATTTTTGCTGGTTATATTGTACAGTACAGTTTTGTATATTTATGTCCTGCTATACTTGTTTTTTGAGACAGTTTCACTGTGCAGTGCAAGGTGTACTTGAATTCAGTATGTAGTCCAAGCTGACCTTAAACTCTTGGCAGTCTTCCTACCTCAGCCTCCAAAACTCTAAGATTATAGGTGTGTGCCACCATGCCTGACTGTTCTGTTATATATTATAGTACCGCATTAAGAGTTACATAATTTTTTTAAAAAAAGAGTTATATAAGTAGCCAGGCGTGGTGGTGCACGCCTGTAATCCCAGCACTCGGGAGGCTGAGGCAGGAGGATCGCTGTGAGTTCAAGACCAGCCTGGGCTACATAGTTCCAGGGCAGTCTCAACTACATTGTGAGACCCTGTCTCAAAAAAACAAAACAAAACAA